ATAGTTTCCCTCTGTTGTTGTTTGTTTTTTTTTTTTTCTTTCTTTTAAGCTTTTTGGCCTTCTTTTTCATTTTTTTTCTTAATCTTGTAGGATCACCAATTTAGCCGATCTGGATTGAGCCAATGGCCTATTCTCCGGACTAATCAAGATTTAAAATAATAATTATTTAAAGTATTGCACTAAATGAAATCAAAGTGGCATACATTTAGTATTACGAGAATGACATGGGGTCTTGGCGGTAGTAATGCTGGGCTGATGAAATCTCTAACTCTATTCTCATCAAAGGGTAGGGGTCCAAATCCCCACTGGCTTACCACTTTTTAGAAAAAGAGTTGGTCCATAGTGGTAGCATCCCCACACTTACCCCATACTTACGTAGCATCCCCACACTTACCATATTGTTGTAACTCCCCACTCTACTGGCTAGGTCGTGGTGATAGCATCCCCACACCCACACTTACCATATTGTTGTAACTCTCCACTCTACTGGCTAGGTCGTGGTGATAGCATCCCCACACCCAGTTACCACATTGTTATAGCAGCATCCTCACACCCAGTTAACACATTGTTGTAACTCCCCAGTCAATTGCAAAAACTTGTACCAATTACCACATTGTTGTAATTCCCGAGTCTATTGAAAAAACTGGTATCGGTTACACATTGTTGTAACTCCCCCCAGTCTATTGAAAAAACTGGTAGGGCATATCTTATTCACTAAATTACCAAAAAAATAAAATAAATTGAAAGCATAGTTCTCACTCAATTACCAAAAAAAAATAAAAAAAATATTCAAAGCATAAACTATGCTCCTAATGGAGCATACTTTACATTTACTCCTTTGGACAAAAGACCGACTTGTTAGGATTTTTTATCACATTTTGGGAAACACCTAAGAGTAGATCATTGTTTGCAAAAGGGAAAATTTGGTGTTTGAATTCTCCAAGATTTAGATCTCAGCACATTATTTTTTGGAAAAAGTTTAAATAAGGTTGAGGCCCTAAACAATCAAACTAAAGCACGCTAAAAAATTCACTAAAAGAAGTAGTTTCGATGTCAAAAAGGCCTCAAATACAAGCATCTCATTCTTGCGATGCATGCACATAAAAAAAAGAAAAAAAGACTTCAGATCTTAAAAATAGTATATCTTGTACTGCATTATTTAGACCGTCAATTTTCAAGTATTCGCAGATGAGCTTGATGTACACTATTTTTGGAACTTTAAATTTTATAATTGGACATGAAAATAAATTTTCAGGCCATCACAAAGATCTTTGGTACTAAAAGGACATCTTTCAGTATTATTTTAAGATGCGCCTTACTTTGATTGTTTAGGGCCTCGGCCTTGCAAACCACACCGATATTTTTTCACTCACTTAAAGTTAGATCCATATTCAATCTTAAGAAATTATTATTATTTATTACAGAGTGCAAATTGGAAATCTTATTATTGAAATGAGTCCATGAGTTGAAGAGGTTACATCCCCATATTTGGAAAATCTTATTGCTGTTTATTCAACGGGCAGACAGTGATTGACAATAAACAACCCACCAATAACCCCTTCTGTCATTTCAATATGTCACAATAATCCTTTGGGTCATTTCATTATGTCACAATTCACAAATGGGTTTGACAGTGATGACGGATAGAAACTCTTAATCTCCGTGTTCTTTTGAATCATACTTTCTCATTGGAGTTTTTGTCCCCACAGTTGTAGGGCTTGCAACGGATTGGGTCCTGCCAGACCCGGACGGACCCAAAGTTATTGGACATGGATCCGATTGGATCCGAACCAAAATAAAAACATATATTTTTCAATGCATTGATTTAACTATTAAATTAAATATATGTATTATTTAAATATTATAATTAAAAATATATAATTATATTTAAGGAAAAGTTTGTATAGAGCCGCGGCTTTAAACGAACAAATTAGAGTCCACCTCAAAAATTTCACTAAAAGAGGTTGTTTTAATGCCAAAATATTATTAAATTGATCATCTTGACATCAAGATGCATGTACATGAGAAAAAAATGGATTTCAAGTCTTATAAATAGTGCATCTTGTAGTGTGTTTTTGAACCGTCAAATTTTCAAGATTTTTAAATTGTCATAGATATGCTCGATCTATACTATTTTTGAAGCTTTAAATTTTAAAAGTAAAGATGAAAAATATATTTTAAAGCTATCCCAAAGATTTCCAGTATTGAAACTACTTTTCTCGATACTATTTGAAGATGGGCTCCAATTTGATTGTTTAGATTGTCGGCTCTATACCAACAACACCATTATATTTATTTAAAGGGTGTGGTTTCTATAAGATTGCAACCGTAAACAATCTATTTAAGGTGCACCTCCAAATTTGACCATCATATATAATTTTGGTGTAAAAAATTCTTAAGATTATCTTAAAATATCTTTTCATCTCTAATTATAACATTTGAAACTCCAAAAATAGATAAAATCAAGTACATTTATAAACATATGAAAATCTTGAAAATGAACGGTCTAGATAATGTGTTGCAAGATGCATTATTTTGGGACTCAAAATCTTTTTTTGTTCATATGTCTACATCTCGATGTCGAAATGATCAATTAGAGGGATTTTCAACATTAAAACAACCTTTTCCGATGGATTTTTGAGGTGTATATGTAGTTCTACATTTTAAGGTTACAACCTCATATAAAATTTTTTCTTATTTAAATATTGTTTAAGTATTAAATATTAAAAATTAGTTAAACATTAATATTATTCTGGCCAAGGTTCGGTTTGGGTCGGGTCTACATGGACCCAGAGCCAAATAGTATTCGGGTCCAAGATTTGGACCCTACCCGATATGTTGGATATAAAATTTTTTCTTATTTAAATATTGTTTAAGTATTAAATATTAAAAATTAGTTAAACATTAATATTATTCTGGCCAAGGTTCGGTTTGGGTCGGGTCTACATGGACCCAGAGCCAAATAGTGTTCGGGTCCAAGATTTGGACCCTAGCCGACCTGTTGGATCCAAAATTTGGACCTATACCTAGACCTGGGTTGCGTTCAGCCGTCGGGTCCCTAGCCGGATCTAGATCCATTGCCACCCCTATATAAAAATCGGATTCAATTAGGGTTTAAAAGTTGCATGTGCAAAATGGGAATCGCTCATCAGCGTCGGATTCCGAAGTTTATGGGACCAATTTCTTCTCAAAATTAGGAATTCGCCCTAAACCTCCTTATTTGTGATTTATGAAACATACTGTATGAATTATAAAAAGTTATTTCATTTTTTCTTCTTCTTAATTTACATGGTAGCACATTTGATCTATGGTTCTACACAACTGTTGTATTCTATTCTTATTTTTTATTTTATGGTTTTCTCTTCATTATTATTCTACCGGATAGCCGATTCAGCCAATCCAAATGGCCACATCGATCAGTCCAACTCCAGGTTTCAAAGCACTAGATCTAAAACTCTGAATAACATGATCCCACATACATAATAATAATAACATGACCATGGAGTTTCACCGTCCCATCACTTTTATAGATGGTGATGGAGGGGATGGGCCCCACGAAACATGTAGATAATCCATCTTTACCCCCACTGTCCCGTCATCACCGTTCCCAAACGACATGACAGGGATACTCCATATGTCATGCTACAACTTTTATTTACAAGTAACTGATCTCGTTTTAGTAATTTTCTATAGGCAACGTCTACAATAGGGCCATCTACTTTTTGTATAATATCTCAATTATTATTGACCATTACATTTGCAATCACATGGTTGTGAATGCGTCATTATCAATACAAAGTCTAAAATAAACTTTATTGAATTTTGTGGCACACTTCTATATGTCAAAATTCACATCTAATAATTAAGAAGGATTGCGACATCCTTGTACTATAAGTCAATAATCTTATATCATACAATTCCTTTTCTATAAAGAAAAGGTTTAGAGGAGCTAACGGGTTCCAGAGACCACTGATCCAAGAATATCTATCTTTGAGATGGACATTGTATAAGAGGCATCGACTAAAATTATATATTGATCGTATATAAAAAAAAAAGAAAAAATTTCGTATAGAACTCTAATTCATCATTTCTTATCGCTCTCTTTTATTGATTTTTTACCATAAAAGCTAGCCTCAACAAATCTTTTTATAATATTTCAACCCAAAAACTTTTTTAACTATTTTTTTTCCTTTCCATCTTCAACGATCAATAAAAGAGGGAGATAAAAGGTGTGGGTGTAGTGAAATCTTTAGGGGTTTCTTTATGACACTTGAAAGAAAAACAGAAAGAGAATCTACTATGAAATAAAATGAGAAATTAGGACTCTAAATAAAAATTTTCCAAAAAAAATTCTAAAAAAAAAACACATTTTACATTTTTAAAAATTTATTTATTTTAATATTCATGATCATCTTGGTCTTAATTACGAAAGCTTGGATGAAAACTCCATCTTTAAGATGAACTTTAGAGGGAGAACGCATCTATACATATGAATCGGCTGACTTATATAAACCAAGGATGATGGTTCTTCTTATTAGCAGTATACTAAATCTCGTAAGCAAAGACCTTGGAGGGATCTAAGTGACAGTATACTTAGTTCTCTCTATAAAATACTAAAATTTAATGGATCTATCTCTTTCTCCCTATGTTCCCACATTCCTTGAGTATGACTTTTTAGTAGTTATCCCAGTGATGGTTCCCCTCAATATAATACTCTTATCTTCTCTCTCTAAAAGTTTTCATGTTCCCCTTAATATACTAATTTTCTCTCTCGTTCTCTCCCCTTTACCATGCAACTTCTCTCTCTCCCCTCTCTCCTTATCTCTTTCTCTCTCTCAAAGTTTCCCAGTTATTGTTCCCCTGAATAAAACCTCTCAAAATTTCAAGGTGATTGTTTCCCCTCAATAAAACTCTCTCTCAAGTTTCACAGTAATTGTTGCCTTCAATAAAACCTCCTCTCTCTCTCTCTCTCTCTCTTCTTTAGGACAATTCTCTCTCTCTCTGTCTCCCTCTCCCTCTCCCTCCCTTCCTTTTGAGGACATTTTTCTCTCTCTTCCCCTCTTTGAGGACAATTTGGACTTTTAGTAGTTTTCCAGTGAGTTCATAAACTACTCAAAAACAGATTCCCCCACCTCTCTCTCTCTCTCTCTCCCCTGAGAATGCTAGATTTCAGCAGCAAACATCTCTTACATCCCCTCACTGTTTAATTGGTGTCTCAGCAGTTCGCTCTCACCTGGCAGTAACACACACCAAATGGGTGCTGTGACCTCTTCAATGGCGGCCAAGTTCGCCTTTTTCCCTCCTAATCCACCATCTTATAAGATCAGCACTGATGAGCTCAGTGGGCGCTCGGTCATGACTGATGCTCCTCACAGAGAGAACGTCGATGTCCTCAAACTGCCCACAAGAAAAGGTCATGAGATTGTTGCTATGTATGTTCGCAACCCTATGGCCAATCTTACTTTGCTTTACTCTCATGGAAACGCCGCTGATTTGGGCCAGATGTATGAGCTCTTCGTCGAATTGAGTGTCCACCTCAGAGTTAATCTCATGGGGTAAGTTTTTGTTGGGTATTTATTTGGTTTTATATTTTTTTTTTTTTGGTGATTGGTGTGTTTGTTTTGCCTGTAGTTCTCTTTGATGTGCTTTTGTGATTGTTGGGTCTTTGCTTGATAATGGTGTTTTTGTTCTGATGGGTTTCTCGGGTGATTTGATAAGAAAATGGAAGCTAATGAGGTGGGTGTTTTCCGCTTATTTCTTCATTATAACTATGTTAAAGAGTTTTTTCTAGTGATTTTTTTGATGATCCGTCTGTTCTATAACAGCGGGCCTGTGTTTATTTTTACTGGTTTCTCTGGTGTTACTTTTGATGTGTCTTTTGGTATGGAATTATATTCTCATGGATGAGTTGTTTTCTTGATTATTACAGTATTTTCTAGCCTTGTAATTAGGTTGTCTAATCGTCTCACAGTGGGTCTTTGCATGATATCTTTAAAAAAGATATTGGTTTTTTTTTTTAAATTGGGTATTTTGATATGAATCCATGAGTTGTGGGGTACAAGTTTTTTTTTATTTTTCTGATTAATGGGGTTCTTGGTTTTTGACATTGAAATTTACTCTTTGGCTTTTCAATTTCTCACTTATTCTGGGGCCGTGAAACAGACTTTTTTGTGTCCTTCAAATCATGTATTATTTTTGTTTACTCAGCTTATCTTCAATGGTTTGATACTTTATTTTAAATCTTTTGTCAATTGTTTTGAAAAAAAAAACTCATCTACTCTATTAATGGGGAAATTCTGGTTTTTCTTTGTTGATCACTGACTGTGGGTGTGAAAAATCTTTTGGATTTATTCAAGAAATTGAATTTGTTTATTTTTGTTCTGGATATCTGTTATTCATGAGGTCCAAACTTGAAATCAGTCCGATTTTTATTGGTTTACTGGTATTTATTTATTTCATTGTTAGCAATTTTTATTAGAAAATGTTCAGAATTAATCTTCCATTCGGGAACCTTCGGTTTGTTAATGCTGTGTGATTAAACTGTGGAATTGGTTGGGACTTTCTGGTTCTGCCATTTCCCCTTTGGAGAATTGGTATCTTACGTTCCTGTTTTGTTGCCAAGAAATACATTGAATGCTCGACTCGTAGCAATCCATGTTTGCTTTTTACTACTATATTCCGTAACTTTATATTTATTGAAGATGAAAATGAAGACTTAGTATGCTTTTACCAGAGTTCTGGTGCTCAAACTATATCAGATTTAACATTGACGACATGTATTAACAATGCTGTGATTAGGTTTTTGAACTTGAATGCCCCAGAAAACCGGGTGGTTTGAAAGTCGATTGCATAGAATAAAATTGCCAAGGTGGTATATTGAAGAAGGCATTGAAATATATGTGTCATATAAATGAATATGTGATGAAGCGTTTAGGCGCGGTTTAGGTGGAACAAGTAGGTGTGATATTGACTAGGTCAATTCGTGGGCACGGGGAAAACAAGTATTTTGCTTTTGACTTCAGTTGGGTTTTTCAGGCTTTGTGGTGTTCTTCATATTAACGGTGTCCAAAAATGGACAGACACAAATATGTTGCCATGTTGGTCCATATCTACTATTTCTAAAAAAAAAAAAAAAAAAAAACGGAAACTTTTATTTGGGTTTATTGTTCTGACCCTGATTTGGCCTTAATTTAGTCTCCATCAGATGGTTTCTTTAATAGTTCAAAACTCGCCCTGGAAAGCCCAACCAATCACTAAATTATAGTGCATGTCTGAAATAGTAGCACGTGGCTTATATAGTAGTTATGGACTAGAATATCGAATATTTGACAGAATATAACTGATATTGACCACAGGGAAATTTCTTTTGCTTGAGTCACCTAGGCCGGATTGTGGATCTTCTGTCCCTACAATATTTTGCGGAAAAAGCTGTATACCATAGCATGAGAAGGTGGTAGGACTAAAAGAGATTTTCAGGGTAGCCTTTAGATTGGATTTGTTGACTTTTTTACTTGAGAATGACATTTATTTTAGACTTTCAGAGCCTTCTGGAGGAAAATTCCTTGTCATTGTGTGAATCTGTTGGACCTACTAATTAAATTGCCATTAATGGCTTAATGGATTAGATCCGTCTCATGTGCTTCAGGGACATGCATATGGAGGTTGTCGACCAGTGTATTCAGACAATGTGATGCCAGATTAATGGAGCCTGCCTATGATGCAATTAATTGGCATGATGCGATTAAAGATTAAAAAATAAATAAATAAATATGTTACACGGTCTCTTATCCTGGTTGAACGGCCTGGTTGTTAACAGAATGATATTGAAATCTACCATGCTGTCCTAGGTTGATGGAAGAATATGACATAGGGTGTACCGGTGTCCTTCGTAATATAGTGGGTTTGATAGGAAATGTCAAGTACAAGAAGTCTACACATTCTGAAAATTTAATATCACACCGGAAGTTGTGAAATTAAGATGCACGCGTCGTATGGTCATTTATGGATATAATTTTACTTTCCCAATGGTTAGCCAATCAGTTTAGTTTTGTTGTGTCGCAGTTACGAATGCTTAAGTTGTTTCTTTTTTTTTTTGAGACTGATTAATGCTTAAGTTGTTGCAAGATATGGAACGTTAAATTTCTGTATCGTTATAGATGAGAATGCCTGGCTATATTTGCTAGGGTCAACTTCTCATTTGATCTTTTTTAATTTTTGAATCTTCTTATCTGAATTTTATGTAGAATGATATTTGCTCATGAACGTTTAATTTTTGTGTAGAATAATGTTGTCTTTTCACAATTGTTTAAAGGCTAAGGGCATATTTGGGTGGACCACTAAACATGACTAAAGTATGATTTTTCTATACTTGTTATGAAAAACTTCCGCAGCATGTTTCTGTTAATCGGTTTCTGGATTCAAATTATTTGAAAAAACCACAAAGCCCAATTAAGGTTAAAAGAAAAACAACCTTAAAAGAAAAAGTAAAAAACCTACTTCGTTTGCTTGGTTCATGAATTGAAGTAAAAACGAAGAAACATACTTGGTCCCCTAAACTCAATGTGTTATTTTTGGTATTGTGGGGGCATACTTGGCTATTCATCTTTTAGAGGACTGAAGCTTAATTTTCATAATGTCATTGTTATTTCTAGTAGAAGTTTGAACCTTGAACGATATTTATTGCCCTTTCAAGGTGATCATGGGGTTTTTTTTTGGATAACTATTGAGTAGTTTTGGCATATGACGGCCTTTTGTCCATGAAGCCAACTTATTTTTACATTCGACCTATGCTCCCAAATGGTCACATTTTTTTCATATAAGGCTATCGTAATACATTTCATTTGTGAGATATAAGGTTCTATTGGCAAAGGGTTAGGAAAGGTACCGCTTAAAAAAGGAAAAAATCAATGGAGGCACTGTGTTGTTGTGCCCTGCAATAAAAAGGCTGGAACCCTTTTTGAATGTATTGAAAAAAATTGCATTTCAGTGTCATTTTATATTATACAATTATTTGGCTTCAAACCCCTAGCATCGACCGTCTTAGAAGAAAATAAGGTTAGTCTATCTACATGCGTTCTTTTTGCTCCCACAGATAGTATGGACTTACTTTTTATGTTAAAACTAGATTTGCCTCATCTAATAGAATGTTGGCATTGCAAGATTTATCATCATTGAAGTTGAATTGTACAAATCTATTAAGTGAATGCGTGAAAAGGAAGAAACATACTTGGTCCACTAAACTCAATATGTTATTTTGGTATTGTGGAGGCATACTTGGCTATTCATCTTTTAGAGGACTAAAGCTTAATTTTCATAATACCATTGTTATTTCTAGTAGAAGTTTGAACCTTGAGTGATATTTATTGCCCTTTCAAGGTGATCAAGGGGGTTTTTTTTGGATAACTTTTAAGTAGTTTTGGCTTACAACGGTCTTTTGTCCATGAAACAGTTGACTTAAAATTACTTTCACATTCTACCTATGCTCCCAAATGGTCACATTATTTTCATAATACATTCTATTTGTGAGATATAAGGTTCTATTGGCAAGGGGTTAGGAAAAGTACCGCTTATTTTTACATAATATAATTATTTGGCTTGGGGCCTTTACCCCTAGCATGGACCGCCTTAGAAGAAAATAAGGTTACTTTATCTCTATGTGTTCTCTTTGCTCCCATAGATAGTAAGAACTTACTTTTTAAGTCAAAACTAGATTTGCCTTATCTAATAGAATGTTGTCATTGCAAGATTTATAATCATTGAAGTTGAATTGTACAAATCTATTTAGTGAATGCAGCAATAAAGTCTAATTGTTGTATTGTTCCAATAAATATTGAGTTGTTTTTTTCATCGTGTATGATTACAAGCCATTCATGAACAAAAGAATAATGCATTTGATCAATGAAGAGATTATTACAATTCTTAAAAACATGAACATCAATTTCTGTTGGTTACATCAAGGTCAAGTTAGACAATATTGGGCTTGCAAACCACCAAAGGTTTTATGTACTACCATTTTGGTTAGGTTTGAGGTGATATCACAATATCACAATATCATTGAGTTTCAGGCATTGGTGTCAGTGATTGCTACATATGTTCTTAGTTCAAACTTCAAAGCCTGTCTGCCCTATCCCAAAAAAATTCGCAATATCACATTTATTATCCTTTGAATTTTTTGGTTGTTGATAAGCTGGTTATCTTAGTGTGTTTGAGAGCCCATTCAGGTCCTTATAAAGCAGTGCTCATGAACTGAGTGCTTTCTCTTTGATGTTGGCAACCTTGGATTTGTTGGGAAACCATGCCTTTTTATCCATTGTCTTCTATTTATTATGAGGCATATCTTTAGATTTGTTTCTATTCCTTCAATAGGTTTACCCAAATCCATACATTAGAGACCATGGTTTATTTTGGACTTCCACATCATCCAGTGATCCCATTGAGGCAAATCATTCTACTAGTCGGTTAAATTGTGATCACTTGAAAATTATTGAGAACCTCATTGTGATACTGGTTTTTGGAAATTAGGCCACTCCATTTTGCATGTGAATCAAATATATAT